GTGTGTGTGTGTGTGTGTGTGTGTGTGTGTGTGTGTGTCTGTGTCACAGTTCAGAGAAAAAGATCATCCGAATAACCAAAACTCAGCTCTGCGTCATAAAACAGGAAACAGGAGTTCAAATGTAAAGATGAGAGAAAACATGGAGGAAACCAGGAAGTGTTAGTAAAAAACATTTGTTCCAGGAAAGAAGAAAAAAAGAAAAAAAAAAGAAAAAAGAAAAAAAGGAGGAAAAGGGCCAGTGAAACAATAAAAAAAGCAAACCTCTGCAACCTGGCTCACACCAACGTTAGAGGAATTTGAAAATCTTGAAATGACACCAAYGAGTCCACAGCAGGGCCAAACCACTGCAGAGGAGGCGCAGCGTCCTCACCCTGCAGTTTGGCCCTGCTGTGGGGAACGGGCCAATCAAAAGCCTCCACCAAAAAGTCCACCAGCACCCCTCATCCCAGCATCAAAAACAAGTGTGTGCACGTACATGTGCACGTTACGTGGACTGTGTGTGCATTCACGTCAAGGTAAGCACGTTCAGCTTGTTCCTGTCTCCTCTACGCTCGGCCCCGCCCCCGTCTCCTCTGCGCTAAGCCCCGCCCCCCTGCTGCAGAGGCTYAGAGCGTGCCGCGTCACGTTTCAGACTCACCGATGACAAAGGTGGTGAGCTGGTGTCTGCTGGCCCCGTGCTTGTTCCTGACCTCGCAGATGAAGGTGGTGTTGACGGCGTCGTCCACCTTCCTCACCGTCAGCTTGTTGTCGTCGACCTCCACGTTGTTTGGCAGCGAACCAGAAGCCCTGCACAGGAAGCAGACAGAAAATAAGAGATAAAAGAGAAGTGAAGAAACAGCAACGGGTAAAAGATGTGTTTATCATCTGCCAGACTTTTAAACATCTTAATCTTCTGCCATGTTGTGACCTGTAGCATGCTCTTTTCAGGCTTGGAGCATGTGCTGCTAACAGTTAGCTGTTGCAGCTATTTTAATAAGTTAATCAGTACTAAGGTGTTCACTCATTTGAGAGTTTCTAACCAAAGACATCAAGCAAATTGGTGAGAACAAAACCAAACATCAAGACAGAGGCCGAAAACAAAGAAAATGCCTTATTACATTATATGTTTTTAGTTAAATGAGTTACAACAACACCTAATTTCCTTCTGGGATCAATAAAGTATTTTTGAATTGAATTGAATTTAATATATACAATTTATTAGGGGTGCAACAATACATTTACCCATATCGAACAGCACTTTAGGTTCAATACACACTTGTATGGAACAATACAGATTTTTAACATTTATTTTATCA